TAGCCAAAAGATGTGAACCATCTACTTGCAACGCATAATCCTTGTAAGCCCCTAAACCCTGCTGTGGCTGCGGGCTCTCTCCTCGAAGGTAACACCAGCAGGCCGTTCCGAAACGAACTGGTAGAACTCCTGCGCTGGGGTTTAGGGTTAAGAGTTTAGGGTTTTCGGTTTGAGGTTTGGGGGCTTGGGGCTTCCAGACGGTTCAAGGGATTCAGGGTTTCAGGTTTCCAGGATACAGGGCTTGTGGGAGTTAGGGTTGAGGTTTGGGGTTCGGGGTTTTGGTTTCCCAGGATTGAGGGCTTTAGGATTCAGAGGTTTGGGCTTTGGCTGTTTTCCAGAATGCCAAATACTTCTTAATTAAGGAATCTACCCTACAAGATACTGTTCCTACATAACTTAATGGACCTATGAAAAACTGTACTAAACTACAAGAGGCGCTCCTGTGTCCACCTTTCATGGTCCCTTGGTAACGCTACTGTAAGATTGACAATAGCTGATATGACTTGAGGTCTACTCTTTAACGGCGAGGAGATAATTATGGGGCTCCCTGAGATGGCGTTGAGCCATGGGATAAGGGTGTGCAAAGATTTTATATAGAGCATAGGATTTAGATCTTAAGATTCGGGCTTAGGGTCTCTCGGATTAGGGTTCAGGGTTTGAGGGGTAAAGGCATAAGCTTTATGGCTTATAGGATTCAAGCTGTAGAGCTCGGGATTTCGGATGTGGGCCTTAGGGCGTAAGGGCGCAGCTTGATTAGGACTTGGCAATTGGGATCTCCAACCCGGCGGACCACTACTTGCACTGCAATTACCGCGTCCACCCCTGAAGCCTCCAACCCTAGCCTAAACATGGAACTCCTCCAACTGAACACCGGCCACTGTGTCCGAGTCTGTTCAAGAAGCCTTGAAACTCACATGGTAAGGTTGCTTCCTACTTGATGTCATGAAAGTAGGTGTCCTTGACCCTATAGCAGAGTGAGGCACCCACATACTTGTATGGGGTATTAGACCTTCCCTATTGGGACGCTCATGCAGCAGAGATTGATTTGCTCACATGGACTGCACATCAGCTGTGGTCAAGGGTTCTCGTACACTCCCCGCAATAAGAATCCTACACCTCTGGGCTACAGGCTAAATTACACATCTGTCGGATGAAGAAAGGGGCATTTTTGCCCCAGGGTTTGTTGGTACCCAACTCCCGCTGACATCACCTGAGAGCCCAGGCAGCTCCCCAGATAATGCAGGGCCTAGATAAACCACCAAAGGGTTTGGGTGTATTTTGCTAGTCTTGTATGAGGGCTACAGGTGGAAAGTATTTGTAATGACTAAGGACTCTACATTGGTCTGGGGGTACCCTACCTAGGCTGTCAACCACAGGTGGTTTAGGGTTTGGATCTTGAGGGTTTTGGGTTGCCCTGCGTTGAAGCTCAACAGCAAGTGATAGTTTCAGGGCGATAGGTTACGACCTATGGTTTGAGGATCAGGGGGTTGTATTCACACTCCTGATAGTAAGGCTTAAGGATTTAGGGGCTTACTTCTGTACTCCCAAGCAGCCTTAGGGTCCAGACCAATGAAACCCCCGTGGGTCTTACCCTTCCTCAAACAAAATTGGAAGCTGACAGGGTACCCCTTCAATGTAGAGCCCTGTTTGGACTTCCACGTATTTGCGGGACCATAAACTTTTTTGTTCCTCTCCTTGTAGGTGTGTGTGTATATACATATACATGGACTGTAATGGACTGTAAATACACATACAGCTACCCATGGAACCCTTACTACTGAAGTTCCTTCAAGAAATCCTGTTTTGGGGGTTCCATGTTCTAACCCCCCCCCAAACCCTAAACCCTAAACGCTAAACCCTGATCCCTGAAATATCTGTTGCCGCGGGCCTCGAGGTTAGGCACCTCTGGCATGGCTTAAGGGTTTGGGGTTTAGGGTTCGGGGTTTAGGATCGTCCCCAACACGCTCGCAGTCCCTACTTGGAGCTTCAGGATACATATAGTCAACATTTTACCTGTGGGGGGGGGGGAGGGCGGGGGTGACTGCGTTTTAGGTACAGGTATAGTTGGATTATAATTGGCCTGATTGTGCCTCAAACCCTAAATCCAAGTTACTCGGAGGCTAAGGACAATTAGGACCCAATCATGACTGTAGAAGGAAACAAACCCTAAACCCTAAACCGATCATGACCGCACCTGGGAGACCTACGGGACTTACGAACCCTGTCATAACTAAAAGTAATACTATAATACTACTGAAAATGAGGATAGAAACAATCATGGTCATAGAACAACCACAGTAACAGTACTACAGTACCCATGAATTGGGTTACACTCTATATTGGGGACTACAAAACCTCCAAAGACGATACAAGTCAACCGAGACGAGTAGCCCCTACTGGTAGAATCTTCCCTCAATCCTACCCAGGAGCTCGGCACCGATTCCTTGATTAGAGGGTATATAGGAGGTTAGAGGGATACAGAGATCATGGAAACACTTGGGCTTAGGGCTAAGCATGATGGCACTGCAAACCCAAGTCAGAAGGGCTGCACGGGTGGAGAAACAAAATCAATATTAAGACCTGACTAGGATGCTGCAGCTTACTGTCAAAGCCTCTAGGTAGGGTTTAGGGTCATGCCCCTGAAGAGCCAGTCGGGTAGCCGTCATGCCTGAGACCTGAGCTTTGAATACGAACCATGGGTTTAGGGTTTAACTAACTAATAAACACTAAAGGTCCAAGTACTCAAATGAGAGGGCTTTAGGACCAAATACATTATAATCTGACTGGTTTTTGGCATCTGGAACTATCATTCGGGTATTTGTACCGTTAAGAACACTCTGAGTACTACGCATGCAGACCATACCCAAAACGGTTCCGAGCACCTGCACCAGCGCCATTGCAACGGCAAGGGTTTGGGCAAGCTGCAGGGAGTCGGATTGCTCTTGGAATCTCTGCGACTCGGGATGGCTAAGCGTTTGCTTATTGGAAACCGTCGTCTCCCGAGAGTCTTTTTTTTGCCTGGGTTACCACACTTGATGTGAAATGCAGAAAGTCATTCATCTACTGGTACTGTACACTCAAACACAAGAGAACATAGTCATTAACACACTAAGGAAAGGAAGCGCCACATCTTTGAGTCTCCCAAATTCTTGACACTCAGGCCTAGTTTTGCTTAGGCTGCGGGTTGCGATGTGGCATGGAACACGCAAACGTGTAATGTAGTAATCCATAAGGGTCCAAGTACCCAATAGTTATGTACTTTTTGAAAACATGTACTGCAATTACCAGTACAAAAGGCAAAGTACCCAACTGTTGGGCGCATGGAACCTTAGTGAATTTCAACTACAATGCAAGGGCTTCGTCGGGTTTAACATGCTGCATGCGATCCAGCTCTGCTCATGGGACCTCTGCTCATGGGACCTTTCTCTGTGATTTCTGAGCCAGACAGCGTTCACAGTCAAACTCTCATTTGAGTAGCGTTTTTTTGGTGGTGGAACCTAGTAAAATAATATTCCTTAAACAAACCATAGTATCCACAAATAAAATACTACTAATTTTCCCTACAATGCACTCCCTCTGTGGCCAAATGCTAAAAACCTTACAGACCGAATTCCTCAAGATGAGTCTCAGAGCCATGCTCAGAGAACTCGTAGAACTGAAGTTCAGTGTTTCCATCGTGCACGCTATTACAAATGAGCAGTTCATGCATCCTTTAACACTAAAACACCCAACCCAGAGCCTAAGCCTAAACCCCAATTCGCGGAGAAACACACGGAGCGAACCTTGCTTTTTTCATGTCACAGCAGACTGTTCGTCGCTGGAGGATATGGGCACCTGGCGAATCACGTGTAAAGTCAAAAGCTTCGGGCCTTTGAAAACCCTAAACCCTAAACCCTAAACCCTTAAACCCTAAAATCTGGTCTTGGGGCGAAGGCCCATTGCTTGGGCACTTGGACCCTCAGGGCAGGGTTGACGGTTTAAGCCTTCAAGGTTCAAGGGGTTGTTGGGTTCTAGGGGTTTTATGGTAGCTTGTACCCTAAGGGTCCAAGGACCCAAATAATAGGGTTTTAGGGGCCAAATACTATAATATNNGTCCTTGGACCCTTAGGGGTAGTAATTGTTTGCAGTCCGTTTCTACACTCACCAAAACACCATCATTGGTTCATACATCTGGTCTTCGCTGGCAAATTTGAAGCATATAATTTCAGAGCGCGACGTCGTAGCGTCTGGAAGACATGCATAGAGACCCTAGTGGCCCTAGTGAGGAATCAGGGGCGCGCATTAAAGTCTTTAGCCCCTAAAACCTGATGAAATCTTCAAACCTCTACAATCCTCGGTGGGGTTTTTTGGGGCTTGCATACACAGGTAAACCCTCTGCAAAATGGTATACATGTTGGATAGCTCTCTGCTTACCCATGCTTCTAGGGAGTGCATCCCTGCAGTATTCTAGCCCCTTACTCCTAATATGCATCTTTAATAAGGAAACCCCGAAATAAGGGAACAATGATTCTACTTGGGTACCTAGTATTCTCTAGATGGACCCGCATTATAGGCCCTGTCATAGTACCTGGGTTTTATTTGAATCCAAACTGAGTCCGTTGAGCGGCGGCCTCAGATTCATTAAACCAACCCATGACTCCTGGCATGTCAGGGTCTCAGGGTTAGCTGTAGGGTGTAGGGTGTAGGGAGCAAACTTGCGCTTAACATCCAACGACAGAAGTGCTGTTGAGTTCTGCTTTACCTAGCGGGTGGTTAGTCTGGCATGTAGTAGTCCATGTGTAATTACTTTTGTACTACTCCCTATGGCCCAGCCATTCAATTCCATACGAACCACATGCACAGTAAGTTATATTCTGCTTCATGCAACCCCGCCATGTACGTCAAGCTGACTCGAAAAGCGCCAAGCATAGCCCTGAAGGCCAAACGCTAAAATCTAAACACCCAAAAGCCCCGAATCTGAACTCCAAAGCCCAACCCCCTGAGCCATTGGGACAGCCAACCTCAGCTTCAGCGGGCGCCATACTGGGAGCAGTTTCCTTGCGGCCGGAAAATCTTGCATGGGGGGGTGTTCAGTTGTAGGAAGCACGGCGGAGGGTGGGATGTTTGAGGTTTCGAGTTTGCGGGGTTGGCGGGCTTCTGGCCTAGGGATTTGGCATGAACAGCCCAAGCGCATTCATTCGGATTCAGGGATTGCGGTGTAGGTCTCAAGGCTTACAAACCCTAAACCCTATAGTCGCCCTTACGTAGATAGAATATGGCTTTGTGTAGATTATAACAAGATCCCAATATACCCCATATTCTATCTACTTAAGGGGCCCTAAACCCTGAACCCCATATAGTCCATTTTAGTAGTTTCCATTTTCTTGTCCATTATCCCAATAGTATGCCCCATATTCTATCTGCTTAAGGGGGACTATAAGCCGTAGTAGGTAGACGGCTCAAGGTTTGAGACTGGCGAATCGTGATTTCAGAGGCCCTCAAGTCATGAAGCCCTGTGTTGTGGGATCGGATTGGGGCTTTAATCGGATCCTGACACACCTCCATGCTGGAGTATGTGGCGTGATATGCACTGGAGGTTTAGGCAGTTCAGAGGGTCCAAAGGCCTATAAAAATCTCTGCGGCAATTTATTGGAGTATTCTAAGCTGTACAAAGGGAAGTTTCCGAAACAAAAGCTCCAACCTCAAAACTCTGAATCCGAAACCCTACACAACTCATGCAAAGGTTGGATAGGACCAGATACGATTTTTTGGGGGGGTGAAGAAATTCCCAGTATTGCTCAGGTGCTCTGGTGTCTGACTTCCGGCTTCAGGAGTCAAGGTCTGAGGGGCAGTATGGTTGAGCCCTCCCCTTAATAGGAATTATAACAGGGATCCCAATATTAAGGCCCTTAAAAGGGGGGATTGAGGGTCTGAATGGGACTGAGGCTTGTGAATTGCCACGCTCCACTCTCTCGTCTTGGGCCTAGATTCCCAGAATTCAACTCTAGTCCCGGTCTGGTTCTGTAGACCGATCAAAAGACAGCATGTGCAGGAAGGTACGGGAAATGTCCAAGGAGTGGCCCAAACCCAGACTCTGTAAAGCCCCTATCCCCTCAACCCTAGGTGGACCTCCCACCCTGCAATAGTGGTATGATCAGAGTACAAGAGGACCCTAACATAATCACCAGTATCCATTATAGTCACTATGGGTGAGGGGTCCACCTAAGCCCAACCCCTAGGCCATCAACCCCTAAACCCCACCCCAACAATTCAATCCCCACGCCTGCTCCTCAGCTGAGATCTTGTCTGGCTTGCTGACCTGGAACATAAAGGATCCTAAGTATCTAGATGATACAAAGTAGGGTTTCTAACTATCCTATGAATTTGTATTATGGTTCGGGTTACTATCCCCTATATAGGTACTCAGGATCCTTTGGGGAAGTGCTGCGTGACATATGGTGTTCGAGCGTTGCTGCCGTAGCACCTTGGCTCAAAAGTTTGGGATGCGAGTTTGATGTCTAGACCGTAAAACTTTAACAATTAGTCATGTGCGGGACATTTCGGACTAACTTAAACAATGCACAAATGCACAGGACGGTTCTGATGTAACATGCGTGCGCGCCCTCTCTTGTGCATGCCGTGCATAAAAGGCTCTTGCATCCAGAAGGACTCCGAAAATTCTGCCATCAAATGTGATTCCCTTGGCTGTCGTGATCCTATCCCACAGCCCCAAGTACGTGGTAATGACGTGACTCCAGAAGTTGGTACCGCGAATACTATTCCCACAATCTAGAGTAGCCAGTTGTTGGGTACACTGGTCCTTTAGGAAAGGTACAAGCCACAGGGTATTTTAGGAAAATATCCGGGATGATCACTTACCTTACTAAACCCTAGCCCTAAACCCTCAATGGAGTTAGTCAGGGATCTGGTTGAGAACGGCCAGCCTCTGCATCCAGGGTGACGAAGACCTCCTCTTTCGGGACCTTCCAGCAGGCAGGGCTGCGATCATGCGAGCAGAAGCCACGTGTGCTACTAAGATCCAAGAAGCAATATCTGACCTCAGTTCAGGGGAGTTTCCATTTTATGTCCAGATTGCTGTATGCAGCAAGTGCGGCTCTCTGCAAGACTGGTGTTTCAATAGTCTCCCTGGAGCTTAGTAGGGAATGGGGGAATGGATTATGAGGACAACTATGGGGCAATATGTAGGGACCACTAAAGAGGTCGATTCCCTCTCATTCCCTACTGAGTATGCTGAGCCTTGGTTTAGGGTTTAGGGCTTTGGTTCCTGAATAATGGAGTCACTTCCATGGTCTTTTGCCTTTCCCTCATCTCCTACTAGGGGCAAAGTGATAAGAGTCCGTATATGAGAGGCCCCATACTACCCCCAACAAGCCTAATGCAGAAGCCCGCGTAAGTACAAATGTCATGTTGCGGTCTACTTGATACTTGAGGTACCTTATACAACAAGTATACAACGAGCTTAGGACAAACTATTGGTGATCATTTGAGCTATAGTCTAAACTCCTAGTATCACCCTCAAAGCTACCATAATACGTGATCCCCTATCTAACCCCCTATACTATATAACCCCGTGTAAGGAGATCTCACCATTTACATGTAGGCGCTGCGTTAAACACCCTTGCTCGGGATTTTGGCCTTCTCAGAGCTAAACGCTGCAGTATAGCAGGCTCTTGTATTATTCCAGGGCCATACGCGTAATGATCAGCCTGCTACCGTAGCAGTGGTAGTAGTAGCTATAGTAGTAAGTAGTAGGAGTAGGAGCAGGAGTAGCAGTAGTAGTACTACTCGTAGTACTAATAGTGGTACTCATAATCCCCTCTTGCTGAAACGCGACCCTAAAAATACATACCCCCCGGCAATATATTACCGTTATATAATGGAACATTTCTCATGGTTTGGGGGCGGGGAGCTTTTGTCGCATAGGGGGCGGATTAGTCATAGTAGACGCCGTGGGTGAGAAGATGTGAGAAGTAAAGCGGAATGCCAGTATACATAGTATAGCCTCAGCAACTGCAGAGCGATCAAAAATTAGGTTCCCCTTTCGCCAGATTGGGATTGTAAACGAGCACTCGCACACACTGTGCGAGCTCCGATAGGACTCTGGAGCATACCTCAAACCCTCCAAATACGTTTCGCCCAAACGATAGAAACCCCCCAGCACGTACTTGAAAACCTAGACCCTGAACCCTAAACCACGCACCCTTAAATTCCAGTCTTTCATACTAAGTCCTAAACCCTGCTTCTCCAATTTTAAAGCCTTCGTTCTACACTTTGACTTTAACTCATCGCCCCACACGCTGAACCGAACCCTTAACGCTAGCAGGACCCAACCTCAACAACGGCACACTCGGCCGGTGACGTAGCTTCCTTCACAACGAAGTGTTTAGGGTTTAGTCAATCCCCCCACTTGAGCCCCGGAGGGTTGAGGCTGTGGGTTTTTTAGGGGAATAGAATTCAAAAAACAAAAGGAAGCCATCAGATGACTTAGGCTTTGGGGCCCCTACAAGAAATCTCCTGCTTCTAAATGATGGTGCTTTATTGCAGGCTTTCATTCTTGCTGCTTGCGGTGGGGGGTCAGGGTCAGGGGACTAGTAGGGAAGTGTGATAGGGGAAACACAGACATCCCAGAATGCTGTGCCTCCTGTTTTAGGAGGGTAAGGTCCAAGGGAAGGTAGGCATCACTGAGATACTTATGCCCCGCAATTCCTTCGTGCCGTGACATTAACCACGTGGTGTGTCAACGAATGGCTGGCTCCCGATAGTAGTCCCCATATACCTTCCATAATAGCTCGTATATCTCGTTCTGCTCGTGATCGCGTGTTTGCGTCACGCTTTTGGGCTTTCAACTTGGCTGGGTGGGTATGCTTACCCAAATTATGAGGTACAGATGGATTGTATTGTGACCTTACAGGGATTCTGTGGGGTTAAAGATATTATCCCCATACATATTGGCGAGCGGTGGTGATTGCAAGCTATCATGCTTAACTTTGCGGCTTCACATGGGGTTGGGCCCTTGCCATGACGCGTGCCTACTCACTGAAACCTTGAATCCTCGCAGACTTCCTTTCTAACCCCTAAACCCATGTATAATTAGGTGCCATGGTCCCCTATACGTTCCCCCGAAACCCTAGGTTGCTGCTTCCAACCTTAAACCTTGAAGCCTCAAACCTAAATCCTACACGCGGTTAGGGTTTAGGAGGTTCTTGGCAAGTGCAAGTTGGCGCTCCGAGGGGCCATGCAGAAGGAGATACACGTCTTGCCTAATCTTACCTCTGGTTAGCAAGGCATGAAGGACTTGATCTGTATAGCCGACGGAGAGTAGCCGCCGCTAAAGACTCCTCAATGATATGATAGCTTGCATGTTCTTTTCCATTCTTTCATTCCCTGCCAACCATCGGTAAGTAGTGACTACATAGTGCCTCTCCAGATGTCTTGTAAACAAGGCCACTGGATTCATCGAGCTTTTTGACAGCCAAAGCATCATGCGGAGAAGGCATGACAGTCAGCTGTTCTTGTGTCCTGCGAACGTGGCCTTGGGATCTCATCTCATGCGCTTTCATGGCATTTGCTCGCTTAGGCTCATGCTTGGTGATATGGTGCACTGCTCATCATGCATGAAGAGCTCTTGGTGCCCGCGACCGATGCTGGATCTTGTCAAAAGAACAGATGCCTTGCCACCTTCATCCAAGCTTAGGCTGGATGATCCGCCCCCGACTGTCATCCATGCCTCTACCCGTCCTGCAACAAAAGTGGCAGAGTTGCGTGCTTGGTGCACAATGCGCCCGACATGTCCTGCCAGAAAACGGCGCGCTTGACACAATGCTTGCGCAAGCCGGTCTGAAGATTCTTAGTCTGAGTGTGCTAAAAAGGTGTCAAGGAATATGACAGGTTGCTGACTGGCAGACAGGGCACACTCGGCACACTCCGTGGAGGGAGCAACGGACTCCGTGTGCCGACGTGTTTTTCAGCTGATCTGCGCAGGCCTGCTTCCAGGCTAATGGACTTTGACCGGCTGCAATTTCTGCATACTGCTATAGTCCGCCTTAGGTAGATAGAATATGGAGCATATGGGGATCCTATTATGATATACCCCTATCCATATTCTATCTACTCCAAAAGGACTACATCTACTTGGGTATCTTCCCCTGTGGCAGATGGCATCAATCAAATGCCAGCCGCAGCCCTACAATCAACTAGGACCCTGCTATGGCCATATGATAGCGATAGGGTCCTTATCATAGGGTTGGGGTAGCTAAAGCCGCCGTATTTTGAATGTAATCCCCTAATCTAAGTGACCTGAGCTTCAACTCATTGACTACTTTCTTGTCCATGTGATTCTCCCTTATTGGGATGAAATCCCTCAACCCAGAACCCTAATCCCTAAACCCTAATCCCTTAACCGTATAATCCCTACACAATCGAGGATAAGTCTCCTTATCATTGCTAAGGTTGGCACGTGCACGTAACATCCAGCAAGCTGGCCTGGCATGCCCGAAGAAGAAACCTTCTCAAACCCGTATAAAGGTTCAGGGTTTAGGGTTGAGGAAGGGTTTACCTGTCATCCCAAGTACCTACAGCTTAGTAGAACATACCCCCTAATTACAAGGTATAACCCATAAAACTGTAGGTAACTGGGCTTACTGGTATAAGGTTTAGTCGCACACTCTGAACTCCCAACCCCGGATCCTGAAACCTAAGCTCTACAGGCCTGGAGCTCGAAGCCGTAGGCTCTGAAACCATACCCCAAGGCTCCATGTAGGTACTATTTATAGGGTTTAGGGCCCAATGTAGGTATTATTTATATAGTTAGAGCCACAGGGATAAGCATTCACCCCTGAACCCTCAACTATGAACCTAACTCCTACACCCTAACCAGGTTTAGGGTTTAAAGGCTTAGGGTTTAACCCTTGAGCTCTATGACCTTAACCCTGTAGGATGACGGGCAGCCAGCCTGTGCCACGGAGTTGGGGGCCTCCTCTTTGTGGGCCTCCTGACGGCTCGAACTGGGGTTGAAGGTGCCGGGCTTCAGCTTGATGTACTGTACAGCTTGTCAAGTTCAGGGCTGTGGATGTAGGGCTCAGGGCTCTTAGGGGTTCAGAGCCAGTACCGCTTTTAAGGTGTAGGGCACAGAGCCATGAACCCTATGCCAATGCCTGGAGGGGCCTGAACCAACCATGAGCAAAAACATGTTCCCTCCCAATATTGGGGTTATATTGGGGTTACATAGGGATAATATAGGGATCTTGGGATAATATAGGGTTATACTGGGGTTATTGGGATAATGGAAAAGAAAATACAGAAATCCCAGTTCCAACGAGTTCAGCTTCCCACACTCTGGACGCTACTCTGGAGCACAGAGCTCATCATGGTCTTATTTTCGGAAAGTTGCTCGTACAATGAGAGCCCGTAGAAACCGTGCCGTGGCAATCCTGCGAATTCCTAAGTGACATGTGCACAAATTCGCCAACGCCCGTACCTCAAGATACAACGGCACGCTGAACTTTTCCTAACGTGATAAACATGGAATTCAGACCCTCCAAGGCCCCAAACCCTAGACCCTGAACCTCAAACCGGCACGCGAACCCTACATAGGCCATAAGCTCTATGCTCTGCGCCCCGAACCTGAAGGCTTAACCCTGAACCTTGCGCCCTAACCTTCCAATCTAACTCCCAAGCCCTAAAAACCTATGAGCCCTCTACTCTAAACCTGAAACCTTCGGTAGGACGGCAGGTAGCCAGCCTCAGCCACGGAAGCGGAAACCTCTTCTTTGTGGGCCTCCTGACAGCTCGAATTCGAGTTTAGGGTTAGGGGCTTCAATTTAAGATAGTACTTTGACGTTCCTGTTCCCGGAGTGACCATTGTGGAAAATCATGTCCTCCACGTTTTCCTCATGGACCTGCAAGATCTCCGCATAGTTTCCCGAAAGGACCTTTGGATCAACCCGCATATACAGTGCAGGCGTTCAGGCTTTGGGCTGTGGATGTATCAGAATAAAAAGTCATTAGAGTTTCCGCAGGGCAAAAGGTTTGATGGCACATTGAAGCTTCAGGGCATAGGGCTCCTACCAATGAAGGGCTCAAAATATGTTCAGGGCAGTCAAGAAAGCCCTAAATTCATGCCAAAACATGCAATACGCAAAGCTATGAACCCTCTGCCAAAGGGCTAAATGGGCCTGAACCAGCACCTGGGAATATCATGTGCCCTCACAATCCTTTTGTGATTAAACGGCAAGTCTCCGTTCTAATTGGTTTCTAGTGCTCGGCCGCACACACTCCGGACGCACACTGCTCAGTGCTCACACAGTATGGTCTCGTTTTAGGAAGGTGGTTCGTACTATGAAAGCTCGAACAAGACGTGGCATAGCAACTTTGTGAATCCCTGAGCGAGATTTGCACAACTTCTCCCACACGGAGATGGGTCAGAAAGCTCATGCAGTCCTCCATCCAGCACACCTCTAGCTCTAGCCTGTGGAGCCTACTACGCCCGGAAAGGCATGCTTTCCCAACCTCCTGAACATGGTGAGCTACCTTACGTCATAACTCACACAAACATTCTTAATTAACATGATAACCATGGGCTATAGACCCCCAAGCCCAGAACCCTAAACCCTGAACCTTAAACATGAATATAAAAACTATATGGACCAAGAATCCTGACTGAGCCCTAAACTCTTAACCCTAAGCCCTTAAACCTCAACTTCAAATCCTAGACCTTAAACCCTAAACCCAACTTTTAACCCGAACACCCGAAATCCAGAAGCCACAAACCCTACACTCTAAACCTTAAATCTTCAGTATGATGACGGGTAGCCAGCCTGAGCCACGGGGTTGGGTGCTTCCTCTTTGTGGGCCTCCTGACTGCTCGAATTGGGGTTGAAGGTGCCGGGCTTCAGTTTGATGTACTCCCAAAGGGTCCTAAGTACCCAAATGGGGAATACTTACCCAAACCATAAGGGAAACTAGTACTACAGAAAGTACCATATAGGTACTTTGGGCCCTTTGGGACTGTACTTGTAAAGTTGAGGGCTTTGATGTACACTTTTACGAATTCAGACAGTACCGTTTTTAGTCTATGTTGAGGAAAGGCTTCTATGGTTGAATCTAAGTCGGTATAGGTAGACCATGAGGACTCCTACACGTTTACTTAGTTCACTTGTGAAGTACACAGAGCCATGATTCCCATGCCAAATGCCTTGGACGGGCCTAGACTAACAATTTGGAAAATCATGTTCCCTTGGGGTTTAGGGGTTTAGGGTCTTAGGGTTTTAGGGTTTAGGGCTTTAGGGCTTCAATCCCTGCGTAAATACAGTGAATAAAGTGTAATACAGCAGAAATCCCAGCTAAAACTAGTTCAGCCCTCCCCAAAGGCTGGCTGCACACTGCTCTGGAGCACGGAGCTCAGCATACATTCCCCAGTGAAAGGCATGCCTTACCAACCCGTTAGCATGCGCACCCACCTCGAGTCACAACGGCAAACTGAACACTGTCCATGGAATACAGACCCACAAGCCCCAAACCCTAAACCCTGAACCTCAAACCGGCACACGAAACCACAAACCTCATACATAAGCCTTAAGCTGTACCCGAACCTTCAAGTTTTTAGTCTGCACCTTGCGCCATGAACCTTCAAATCTAGGTCCAAATCCTAAAAACCTGAAAGCCCTCAACTCTAGACCTGAAACCTTCGGTAGGACGGCAGGTAGCCAGCCTCAGCCACGGAAGCGGAAACCTCTTCTTTATGGGCCTCCTGACAGCTCGAAGTCGAGTTTAGGGGTAGGGGCTTAAGAACCACATTCGCTTCTTTTTTAAAGTTCAGATCGTAGGGCGTACTGTGATTAGGGCTTGAGTTTTAGGTATCAAGGTCCCGTGTTTTTTCAAATCAAGGCTTGAGGTCAGGATGCAGCTGCTGCTGGTACTGAATTTTAGAAATCTGCATGACCAGGTAGACATGGCATCGTAGTTCTTAACGCAAAAGATACTTAGGGTCATGAGAAAATTTATTAGCCAGCGTATGAGGCTTGTTTCGTCCCTAACACTCCGATGAGATAAGGCATAGAGGCCAAACGGGGATTCCCAAAATTAGGGGGCCCGATTTTAAGTGAGATAGAAGTGAATATAGGGTATATAGGATAGTAAAAGATTACGTTGTGTTTTTGGGAATTTAGGTTTTCCATTATCCCTATATAACCCCAAGATATACCCATAACACACGATATACTATGAGGTACTATAACATACCCAGAATACACCAGCCCCACAGCTGCAGGACGTGCACAGCACCAATCCAGTGGTTGTCCGTGACCTTTGGCCTTCACCTACTTGCGGGGTCAGGGGAACTTAGCAGACTTAGCAAGTATACCTATAAGCCATTTAGGCCATATAATTACCCCAGCTATGCTTAGTATTACCATGGTTACTAAGTTGCCCTGACCCTCCAAGTAAACTCTACACCCTACTTCACCTGGTACTTGAGACTTGTCCAGAGCCCCGCAACTTCGCTTTTGGGCAAACACAACGCCGGCTTGGACCTTGTGGAGATACAACTGGGTTATATCGAGCTGTATAGGTGTTACCCATAATAGTGTAGGTTATGTAGGGTTATATAAGTCATAATCCTAATGATGGTTAATCACATGGGAAAGATTGATGGGATTTTGCCTTTGCTGAAACCCACCAGGATTCTTAACTTAACATGATCTGGAGGCATGCTAGTTTACATAAACAGGGGGCTCCAATGTGGGCACAACAATGTTGTTATGGGAAGGCTCAATAAGCTACCCCTAATTTTTTGGGAAACTACCACATC